ATTATTAAGTTCTTTGAAAACCATACAAATGTTCGTTTTTTTTAAATTACAAATAGTAATCATAAAACCTTATAAAATAAAAACTGTAATTTTCAGTACAAGTGTTTAAGTAACAAGATTAAAAAATGTTTAACTTTTAGTGGAACTAGTTCGATCTATCAAAATTTGTGAAGTGAAAGATTAAAAGATTTAGGTAATAAAAGTTTTTGTGTTTAATATATTTATCACTTTTATTTTCTATTTTCTTTTACGCTTCTACTTTCTTTTCTTTAAAAAAATTATTTAGGAGTTAGGAGAGCACAATAGTTACACCCAATTGAAACCATTTGTTAATTTATAAGAAGAATAACCAATTTGTAACAAAAATAAGAAGATCAATCTATGAGAAGAATAAGAATTATTTCAAAATAATTTATTTTATTAAATTTATACTTTATATTCTCGTTATTTCTTATTCTATTCTTTAAATAATATACATAATGTACTTGTTGTGTCCTAAAATTTAAGAATAAAGACGTAAAATAAATTCTATATACGAAAGGTAGATATCGTCCCTCCCTCTCCCCCCACCCCCCCCCCCCCCCCTCCCTCTCTCTCTCTCTCTCTCTCTCTATCTATCTATATATATATATATATATATATATATATATATATATATATATATGCGAAAAAAATTTAGCTCATCGGTATATTTTTTTTTTATTAATATTATATGAAAAAAAATTCTTATTAAATTACTATAGTGGTAAATTGACTATTATTTTCATACATTAAACGTACATAGTTCAAGTCATATAACATTATTCATTGTCAAAATACTTAACCACAGTTTCATATTAACAATTTAAATTCAAAATAAGTGATTAAATTAAAATAATATGATATTAATTAATTAAAAAAACACAATAATAAAATTTTCACTGATAGTACATGGTGTTGCCACCAAACATTCATTATAATTATTGGATAATCCAAGATATCATTCAATTAAAAAAATGAGAGACTAATCTTCTAAAATCCTGATATTCATCAAAGAGATTAATATTTTTTTAATTTCTTTTTTTATACAACCTAAAATCAAACTTGTTGATAGGTGTTTAAGAAAAGGTTATCTCACAAGGCAAGTTATACAGTGCTGGTAAAATTGGTCTTTAATAGACCATGCATAAGGTTTAATTAATAGAAATAAATGATGTATAAGATGTAGACGTGTAGAAGCAAGTAACCAATTTGTTTGATTATTTAATTAATAATCCTTTTGTTGTTCATTGGTTGGTGCAGCTGGTTGTTCCAAAGATAATTTGAAATTTATGTCTTGGGATTGCCATTTGTCTGGGCTTCCCCAAACTGTGGATTTTTGTCTGTAATTTTGCTCTTAACCTCTTCTCTCCTACCCTTCACACTCCACCCTGCTCCTCTCTTTCGCTTTCTCCTTCAGGTATTTCTCTTTTCTTCTTCTTTCTTTCTTTGTCTTTTGCAACAGTGCAGAAGGAGAAAAATAATAAAAAGAGAGACTTGAGATGACTATGAGGAAGGTGTGTACTGTTTGTGGTTTATGATGGTAGATGGTACTTCTCCTGCTCATAAACTCTTGTTCAAACAAGAGGGTTGGTGGGGTTTTCACTTTTCATGATTAGAAGTTGAAATTATAATGTAAAAGCTCCTGTGGAGTGCAAAAGTTGAAATTCTGCTTCAAAGGGTTCGGATTTTTCACTCATGATTGTCTTCTGTTTTTGATTGACGGCTGCAGTGCTTTTCTTGTAGCTTTCTTCTTTTCACTCTTCAATTTCACTCGTTTTTTTGTGTTCTGAACTTGACCTTACTTCTGTGATTTTCACTTTCAAATTTCAACCACCACCATCACCACCACCAACACCGTAGGATTTCAACTTTGAAGGCAATTATGCTTATGCGGTTTTGGTTTTACACCTCGTTTTTGGATTTTGTTAAGATTTCAGCTTTGTTTCCATCGTTTTCTGCTACTTGTACCTCCGCTTTTGACTACTAACCCGCAAAAACAAAAAAAATATGAAAGAAGCTTCCTTTGGTCAATTTACTTAACAGAGTAAACAAAGCCTTTCTTTTCTTAATCTATGGTAATGAAAGTATGCTTTTGGCCAAATCCCTTTTAATTCCTCACGTCGTTTGAAGTTTAAGCCAATGCTTTGAAGCTGCACTGTTATACTATAGATATACATATGTATGCTATAGATAGTGATATAATGTGTCTCTGATTGCTTTTGCCTATGGTATGGTGTTTTTGCTTTATAGCAACTTAATCTTTTCCTTTCATCATACGTGTCTTCTATTTTGTTTATCTTTCTCTTATTTAACTTTTTCGTCCCTTTGGATTATTTTTATTCAATTTAGGTTCTATATTGTGTTGAGCTTTATTTTGAGCAACATTATCATCCTTGCCTCAAACTTGTAGCAGAGGTAGCATCATATATTGAGCTCAGCATCACTACTGGCTTCTTGAACCTAAGCTGCGAAGTGACTAAGTTGTAAAAGGACCAGAAACAAGAACATCTGAATTTCAATTATACATTTTGCAATGTATCCAAACCAAGCGTTTCCTTCAGGGTCCTATGCAAATATGTTGTCTGGGAATCCTCTTTTACCTCATAACTACAGTGAAACTGTTGGAGGACAAAATGAGTTGAAGTTCATGACATCCATGAGGGACACAATGACTATGCAACCTATTGATGGGCATTCAAATGCTCCCACCTCAGCTGATCAAGACTCTTTTTGTCATGCTGGAGATTGCCAATCCCATGTTATTCCAAGGACAGCACAACTGGGACTTGTGGACAGTGAGCAAAATGTACAGAACCAAGGCTTGTCTCTTAGCCTTGGCTCTGTGATGCCTTCTATTGCATCGGTCCCTACCTTTCCATACCAGTATCCTGGCACCGGTTTCTCTTCACTAATGACTGCTTCTGTCCCAAATTTAAAGGGCACATCATCTCTTAAAGATGATGAGGCCAGCCTACAAATGGAATTGAGGAATACTGAGTGCATGGCATCTTTAGCTTCTTGTGGCTATCACAAAAGGGATGGTTTGCTGTATGCTCCACAACACCCCTTAATGTGCCTCAGTGAAGGCCAAAGCGATGGATCGCTGGGCTTTTCCAGCAGTGTCTTGAACTCACAATACCTCAAGGCAGCACAGGAGTTGCTTGATGAAATAGTTAATGTTCGAAAGGCTTTGAAGCAAACTGGTTTAGAGAAGCAACAGAGTTTCCGTGATATTGATTTAGATGGCTCCAAAGATTCTGAAGGTAAATCTAACAGCCAATCAGTGCAGATATCTTCAGGCCCCAGTGGTTCTGCTGCAAATTCTTCATGTGAGCTATCACCTGCAGAACGACAGAATTTGTTGGACAAGAAGACAAAACTTTTGTCTATGTTGGATGAGGTAAGCCTGCAGACTTTGTAGCATTGAATTACAGTTCTTACTTCTCTTCTATTCTATTGATGTATGTGCCTTGGTCTGTCCCAGATCTTTTGTATTTCATCTAATTGGTTTTCAAGTTTGTGTTTCATAAAATATTCAGTGTATGTGTAATAGTTTATTTTCAAGTACAGGACATGCTTATTTTGGATTTTTTGTAGGAGAACATCAGGAGAAATAAAATAATGTTTTCCTGAGAATAGTCATTTCAAACACGTTCCAAATAAACATTTTACCTAACATCTTAAGCTTTTGTGTAAAGTTATTTACTTAACAACCTGTACAACTTTTTGAATTTTGTATTTGTTATTTTTTTTCCTGGAAGAGTGTGTGTTGAAAGGGCTATATATTGCTAAGATTTCTAACACTTATTAGTAATGGCTGAGATGGTGACAGAATAAAAGAGTATTACAACTATCTCTGTGGTTGATCTTCACTTATACAATATAGTTAGTTTTATAAATATGCAGCATTAATGATTTACTGAATTGTGTATACTTAGATACAAGAAAACACAAGGTACATGGGTATAGTAGTGATAGCTTGTGAATTAACTCTTATGTTTTTCTTTGCTCTGGCAGGTTGATAAAAGATACAGACAGTACTGCCACCAGATGCAGATTGTGGTTTCGTCTTTTGATATGATTGCTGGTTGCGGAGCAGCTGAACCATACACTGCACTTGCCTTGCGCACAATATCACGACACTTTCGTTGTTTGCGTGATGCCATCAGTGGCCAAATTCAAGTGACTCAAAGGAGCCTTGGAGAACAAGAGGGGATACCTCGTCTCCGGCATGTTGATCAGCAGCTTCGGCAACAAAAGGCCATCCAGCAACTTGGTGTAATGCGACAAACTTGGAGGCCTCAAAGGGGACTTCCTGAAACCTCTGTTTCAATACTTAGGGCATGGCTCTTTGAGCATTTCCTTCATCCGTAAGTCCCCCTCCCATGTACATAATCTATTTCATGTTTCATTCATAGTATTTTGTCTAATAATTGTTTTCGAATTTTCATTTGGTTCCAGTTATCCAAAGGATTCAGAGAAAATTATGCTGGCTAGGCAAACTGGCTTAACAAGAAACCAGGTACAGTACTTAATGTGTTTGAGAACTTATGCAGAACATTCTATAAGTGCGTGTTTGAGAATGATTAATTGTGTGCAAATAAGCACATTTTATAAATCTATGTTTCAAAGCTGAAGTAAAGAGTAAATAGTCTTTACATTTACAATGTAATATTGATTACTAATTGACATGAATGGTAAGTTTGTTAATTTTTATAATAGTTATCTTTAAATTAATGCCAGTATGAATCTTGTATTCTGATTAGTTGACATTTTAAAATTTCTTACACAATCTATGCATGGATATTAAACTTAAAAAAGAAGTTATTTCTCCAAAATGAGCTAACTCAAATATACTAAATGTCTAAATATATTCCCTGAAAATTTGTTTTTGATGGGGGTTCAACAGCAAAAATCAATGACCCCCTAAAGTTTTAGTCTTATGTCATGTTTGTTAATTTCATTTGATTTTATGTCAGGTGGCAAATTGGTTCATTAATGCAAGGGTGCGTCTTTGGAAGCCAATGGTTGAAGAAATGTACAAAGAAGAATTTGGCGATTCTGAGATGAGCAGCAATCTGTTATCATCAGAGAACTCACCTAAAGCTCCAAGAGATGATGTTCAATCCTCCAACAATAAAAGGGAGGAGTCCCAGGACAACTTAATAACAGTTGAAGATAGTGTTATTCAGCATCATGGCATGAAGTTGGATCATACCTCAGAGTTGGCTAGAGGGATCCAAAGTAGTGATCATGGAGAAAATGCCATGGATCCCAGAATTGGGAAACTGCAGGGTGATCAAAGGTTCAACATAAACAACAACAACAACAACAATAGTCCTTATTATGGTGAAGGCTGCACAACTGCTCCTGTTCCTGCCACCTATGATTTAACAGAGATAGGTAACATTGGTGTGGGTGGACATGTGTCACTTGCATTGGAATTGAGGAACTGTGAAAGTGAAGGGTTTGATGCATCCAATGATGACATGCAGAGGAGAAGTAAGAAAACATTGACTTCTTCCCCAGAGGCTGATTTGCTAGATTACCATTTCACAGACCAAGGAAAGCAACAAAACAAGTTTGGAAATCCTCACTTATTACACGAGTTTGTTGTTTGATAATGAATAGACAGGGGAACAATGGGACGTGTACCACCCAAATAGATAGACAGACAAAAGAGCCTATGTTGTTATTTTACTTGTTTGTTCATTCTTGTTGTCCACAGTTCATAAAAGTCATGTAAATCAATAACCGTACAAAATTATACACGTAGGTATGTGTAGATGTTCTCTTGTAATATCGTGGTGGATGGATGATTGGTTGTATCATGTGCAGGCAATTTTGTAAGGACGAGGAACGGATCTTGTGCATCATGCATGATGAACAAGGAATCTTGTCAAGGTCGCAAAAGGGGTCCCATCTCAATGCATTGACTCTTGTGCACTCACATTATTGAAGTTTGTGTCTTTCATGAATGACCATGCTTCATAAATCATAAATTACTTCCTGTATAAGGAGTACAAGTACAGTGATTACTTCTATTAATGCTATTTGCCTTTAGTTCAGCAGTTAAGGATGTGTTTGGAAACCTGATTGATTGGTGTTGAATTCAAATTTTACACTTTCTGGTGCATAAACTTAGACACAATGTCTAAACACACTACTAGCCTTTGGTTTCTTTAATTTATTGGAGATGAAGAAAGGTAAAGGGATGTGAGGTGATTTATTCATATTTATTTTTATTAGTTTGATTAGAAATAAGAGGATGAATAAAATGGTTTGTGTTGAAACTCACGGAAAACTAACTACATTAGAAGAAACAAAGTCTCATAATGTGGTTGGTCCAAAATTAGGCATGCATTCTCGTTTGGAGTAAGGATTATTGATGTAATCTTTTTTTATAATTTTTCATAAATCTAATCATTTAATATAGAATTATACTTTTAAAATTATAATGTTTTTTATACATGTATTTTTTATATAAAAAATATAATATGATATAATTTCTTTTTAATTCATGTATATATTTTTTATTTTGTATATAAAGTAAAAATATAATAATATATTAAATATTAATAATATTTTAATTATACTTACTTAAATAAAAATATTAGTATAATGTTTTTTTTTCTAATTTTAAAGCACATGAAAAATCCTAATATTCACACTGATTATATAAAAATCCACCCATACCTCTTTCTACTTTTTTTCAAATTTAAATTAATTCCATACATTTATGGTTATTTTTTATTATTCTTTTTCATTCTTTCACCTAATTCAAACAATTTCCTTTTTCATTTTTAATTTTTTTTTTCTTTTTTCACTCTCTATTTCTTTCATCTTGACCAAACAGAGTATTAGGGTGTAGTTTTTTTTTTTTAGATTTTGGTATAATTGATTTTCATAAAAATAATTTTGGATCCTAAGCATGATTTAAAATTCTCTAAATTCAATCGTATCGTATGTAAACTTGGTTATGTATGTTAAATTTTGTCATGCATCAGGATAAGAAAACAACAAAAGTTAATAGAATTTTATATAAAATGAACTAAATTTTCCTATAAAATAAATGTACATAAACTAAGAATATTTTTTAGAAGAGCTTTTAAAAAACACTGATGAAAAAGTTTATTTTAACTTTATATTTTTTATTTCTTCTCATAAAAAATAATTAAAATTATTATTCAAACATACCACAGGCATTAAAGCTACTTGTGGTGGTTATCTTTTGGGAAGGTCAGTTTTATACACTATGAGATAAAACATCACAAAAGGAAATTCTATTTTTGGTGAGCAAAATATGGATTATAACATTTTTAATAAAATTATTTATTGAAGTGTTTGGTTAAAATACTAATGATTACTTAAATTATTGAAAATATATTCAGTATATATGATAAGTTGTTTATTTTTTTTATAAATTATTTCATTAAATATCTTAAAAAAATTCAAAAATAAGTAAAAGAACAAATTGTTTAAAATTTTTGTATTAAAATAAACTTGAAAATAGTATAATAGGGAAGATATAAATTACAATACAGGAAATCACATCCTACATTTTATGAATAATTTTAGTAGGGGTTGTTCTGAAACTAAAAGGTTGAATCTGGGTAGAAACGAAAGTAAGTGCCATAATTTAAGAAGCAAACTAAAAGGTTGTTTGATTGAAGTAAACAGAACATTTGTATTCTGCATTGTATCCACTGTTATTTATGAAGGCTCAAAGTCACAGATTGGCAATCCTAGAAGGAAGAGTGTGCAGAAGGAAGCCAAACGTTTGCTCTGCTTTATGCATGGCACAGAGATCAAAAGAACACAGCAAGAAAGCACAGATTTTATCTGTTCCAATCTACTTTTTTTCAGACTTCAAAAGCTGGAAGGTTGAAGCTTTCGCTTGTTGTTTTATGGTCAGGAAAAGATGGGGACCACCATGTTGTTTTTCTGTCATATTCTACTTGGCTTCCAAGATAGCATAGACCAGATACACTGCCTCAGAGTCATAGGTCTGAAATGTAGCTGAGAAAGATAGGCCCCTATTGCCATCTTAGAAGAATCATTTATGGCATATCAGCATCGTACTCAACTACAACCCAAAAAAAGTTATGCCTACAAAACTTCCATATTAACCTAATTTTTGCTCAAAATTAATTCACCAATCAACGATTACAAAGGGTTAGTTTTTGACACAATGATACTGAATTATCTTAGCCAATGGTTTTATATGTAATTGTGTTTTTTTTTCCCTTATCTGGGAACCTGCAGTTTGCAGAGCTAGGTTAGCATTCATTTGTTTTCTGATAAATGAAAGATAGGGTTTTTTTTTATTATTATTTGTGTAGTAAAAACTCCCATTTCATTATTTGGGATCCTTATTGCATTTGCAAATGTTTTTAAAATTAGAAAAGATATTTAATGGGTGAAAATATGAATTCAATTAAGGTTAGGATTTAAGTTTCAATTTTTAAAAATTTAATTAGAATTTAATAAAATAATATTTTTATAATATAATAAATTTATTTTTTAATAGTTATTATTACAATTATAGTAAATTGTAATAAAAATTAAATAATATTGAATATAATAGATTGAGAAATATAATAAAAGAAATAAAACGAGAATTTCATATTTTGCATGAGAGAAAGTAAAAAATAATTATTATATTTTTTAAAATAAAATTATCATTTAAAAAAATTATCTTAATTTTCTTTATCAAAATCGATTTAATTCAAAAACTTAATTAATTTTTTATTTTACATTGATTTAATTAAAATTTAACTTTTTACATTGAAACAATTGATTTTTAAAATTGATTTTTTGTTAAAAATAAAATTAAATGTATCTTCGTTCAAAACATCTCAGTTTTACTTGAACATCTTCATAGGGCTGTTTTGTTACCCATTCCTTATCATCGTTTCTACAAGCATGACGTCTTAAACAAGAAAAAAAGTGAGTATTGCTTCTTTAGGTGAGAGAGAAGAATTAATGAATTTTACCGTTAAATCCGTCTTAACCTGTGGTTTTTTTCTTCATTTGTTTTGAAGGTGAAACTTCTAACATTCATTGAAAGGTGAGGAAAATACAATATTTTTAAAAACCTGCTTGAAGAGGTAAAGATATAGATCTAAATTTAAAGATTAAACTTAGATTTAATAAAATAATATTTTTATAATATAATAAATATATAATAAATTTATTAATAATAATTTTTTTATAAAAAAATAATAAAAATTATTATATAGGTTACAATTATAAATATAATATATATATATATATATATAATTGTTAAAATAAGATTAAAATATAATGAAATAATTATGATTTAAAATTGATGTAATTAATATAATAAAAATATATATTATATTTTTATAAAAAAATAATTAAAAAATTTAATCCTAATTTTTTTTTAAATCAATTCAATTAAAAAATTCAGTCATTTTTTCAATTTTATGTTGATTTTCCTGATTTTGTTTCAATTTAATTAACATTCAATGTTTACAAGTAATAAAGTAGTTTTTATACTTCTATATCATTTAGGCTTTGTTTGGTTGAAGTGATTTGAGAGAGTGGAAATGAGAGAGTGGAAAAGGAGGGATTTGAAGAGAAATGAAGATGAAATTAAAGTTGTTTGGATGAATGGAAAGTGAAAGGAAAGTTTATGGGAAATTGTGAATGATTTGATTGATATGAGATATAAAAATTATAATTTTATGTTGATTATTTAAGAAAATTACCATTTTACCCTTTGTATAAAATAAGGTTCAAATGATTATAAATATAATTTTTTAATTAATTATCCATATTTTAACATTGATTATATATTTAAAAGAAAAAACAAAATTAAAAGTGTTTGTAATTGGAAACAAATTTAAAAAATTAACTTTTTTTAGATAGTTATTAAAAATTATATAAATAAACAATTACAAAATTATGTACATTGCATATCCATATTCAAATAATGTTGACATATTAAATAAATTAATTGACTAATAATTAAATAATTATAAAATATAAAATAATAATTAATATTGATCTGATAATAACAAATAATTATGAAAACTAATAATATAATTGTACATTATTATTTAAATCAAATATAAAATACAGTGAAAATAGAATAATAATTAAATGAAACATTACTAAAATTATAAACCTATGCACACTAATGCTCTTCAAACAAATAATTATAATGTTATTCATCTTTTGCGATCAAGTCCTCCAGGTTCAGATCATTCAATCACTTCCACTCAAGAACATGAACAATCTGGGAGAGACGAAGATGTCCCATATATCTGACTCGAATGTTGAAATGTTGATGATCGTCTCATCACATTAACTTGAGATAAAATAATTACAATATAATTTTCTACTTTGAGAATTAATAATATAATTTTGAATTCTGAAAGGTTTTCTCTAATAGCAAATTAAAAAACATAATATTCAAAAAAATATTTTAAGATTCAGTCTCGGGTTGTATTTCGCTCGAGCGATACTACTCTCGCTCGAGCGAAATAAGATCCTGATCGATCATAATTTGAAATGATCGATCATAATTGGAGGATATAATAGCGGTTCCTCTGTAACCGCTATCTAAAGTGTATATTAGATAGCGGTTAAGGTT